AATAGTGTGTATTGTAATATATTTATATAATAAAAGTGGTTAATAATCGCTATACTCAAAAGTATGATGTGCATATTAGTGATTCAATTATTATGTTTAAAAAACAATAAACAAATAGTTTTGCTGCTATTTCACTCTATACACAGGTTATATATAAGTATTGGCATGTTTTGGTCACCATAACGAACCACTAAGTTGGTATTGAGAGTCGAAAAGCAACGAGGAGTTACCGCCCCACACCAGCCAGCCACTCGCTGCCACTCCCTTAACACACGCACTAAACTTTCTCCCCCAACAATACCAGTTGTGGTGTTATTACACTATATACAGACGTTATATATAAGTATGTATATATTTTGTTCACCACAACTGTACAGCTAAGCTGATATAGTTAGTTCAGGCACTAAGAGTCGTCGCTATACACAGATGGCGGCTGGCGGCTCCCTCACTCTTTCAAGGTCACACGCACTAAACTTTCTCCCCCAACAATACCTTTTGCAGTGTTATTACCCTATATACACATATTATATATAAATATCTACATGTTTTATGCACCGTAACTGTACACCTAAGCTTGTAGTGCGCCCAAAGAGCATAGTGGCCACCCTCTAAACAGCTAGACAAATCGTGCAGACGACGTCACCTCCGTCACCCATATGGCTCCTCCCAGCATAATCCTTTTGCTGTTATTACACTAATACACACATTATATATAAGTATCTACATTTGTGTTCACCATAGAGAACCACTGACCTGGTATGGTGAATGCAAACAATAACAGGTGGCCACACAGTCAGTAAACGATGCTGTCTCCCTCCATCTCTCAGCATCACTCCTCCTACAGCGCTAATTATTACAACAATCGTGCTATTATCACAACCCTGGTTATTTATATCACAGTCATTGGTCATCTGTAATATTGTCATCGCTAAATAATAACAATTATATATTTATTTTGACATTTTTCGGCGATGCTGTGGTCACAAGCTGAACATCAATGCTGTTCGCTCATGCTGCGTGCGCCGGCCTTGGTTGCTCCAAAGTACTGTGCCTCTCACACCTGAGAATATTGCTCACGATTTTTTTTTTAAATGGCATCTGTTTACAAGAGCCCTGAGGAAGCTACTGTGAACCCCGTGTAGCCGCGGGCCATTTGAATCAGGCCTGGCACCCTATGGCGTATATATACGCCATGCGCACCATGGGACATGTTACTCAGGGCGTATATATATACGCCATGCGCAGTTTAAGGGTTAAACATAATACAGGGTACAAAACACAATTGAATTTGCCCACAGTAGGAAAACAGTATGTCAAGGATTTGGGAATAATGATGTCCGACGATCTAACGTTTAGGGAGCATAACCAAGCAAGTATTGCGTCAGCCAGAAAAATGATAGGATGGATTACAAGAACCTTCAAGTCCAGAGATCCCATCACAGTGGTTGTACTCTTCAAATCACTTGTGTTGTCCCATCTTGAGTACTGCTCAGTACTCACTTCCCCCTTCAGAGCAGGAGAGATTGCTGAAATTGAGGGAATACAGAGAACATATACGGCACGCATAGACGAGATAAAGCACCTAAATTATTGGGATCGTCTCAAAGCTCTCCAAATGTACTCACTAGAAAGGAGACGAGAGAGATACTAAATAATATACACATGGAAAATACTGGAGGGACAGGTCCCAAATCTGCACAGTAAAATAACAACGTACTGGAGTGAACGACATGGAAGAAAATGCAGAATAGAACCAGTGAAGAGCAGAGGTGCCATGGGCACAATCAGAGAACACTGTTTGAACATCAGAGGTCCATGGTTGTTCAACGTCCTACCAGCGAGCATCAGAAATATTACAGGAACAACCGTGGACATCTTCAAGAGGAAACTAGATTGTTTCCTTCAAGGAGTGCCGGACCAACCAGGCTGTGGTAGGTATGTGGGCCTGCGGGCCGCTCCAAGCAACAGCCTAGTGGACCAAACTCTCACAAGTCAAGTCTGGCCTCGGGCCGGGCTTGGGGAGTAGAAAAACTCCCAGAACCCCATCAACCAGGTATCAACCATCCTCAGTATTTTCACGGATGCCCCGGTTTTTTCTTGTGAGGCTGGGGCATTGTGGAGACGGCTTGGCCCCGGGGCCTGCCATGTGGGTTCCCGGGGCTGGGGAGGGGCTGACTTGGGGGGTCTAGGGCCAACACGCAATCCCCAACATGCATCCCCAGGCAGTTTTGTGCCTGGGGATGCATGTTGGGGATTGATTGTGGCGTTTTACGTGGTCTTCTCTGTGGTCCCTCATTCCTTTCCCGTCTTGGCTTTGCTTGGCCGTGAGTGCTTGGCTTGGCCCTTCCATGTACGTTGATTTCTCTGTCCTCGCCTAGTTGTCCGCCTCTGGCTGCGCTTCCTTTGGTTGAACATGGCTTTTTTGTCCTGCCTCTTCCCTGTCGCTTCCCTGACATCTACTGGGCTGTTATGTCTGCACTTGCAGCTGTGTGTGGGGTCAGCCTCCACCACTTCCCTTACTCATGCATTCCATTTGTTTACTACTCTGCCACTGAAATGTTTCTTTCTTGCATTTTTTTGGCTCCTTTGGGCGCTCCTTCCGCCTGTGTCGCATGGTAATTACCTAAGTGTAATTACCTAAGTGTAGTTACAGGATGAGAGCTACGCTCGTGGTGTCCCATCTTCCCAGCACTCTTTGTCACATGGTGCGTGTGCACTTGTGTTCGTTAGTCTGTCTTCGTTGCTCGTACCCCTCGGTTTGGGTACTAGTCTGATGGCAAACCTTTGCACCTTCTTCAGTTTGGTTTGTTGGGACAGGGCCTGCGACTGTGTTGTTGGCATGACTTGTTGGGACATGGTCTGCAGCTTTGTGGGTTGGTCGTGTCCCCTTTCGTTCCCGATTTGCTGCATGCCTTCTTTGTTCCTCATCTTCCTGCTTCACTCTTGTCCCTGGCCGCTGGTGCTGGGGCTGTTCTTATGGTCTTTTCTTGTTTTCTCCTACACACTGTTATGTGTTTTGTTTGTGCCTTTTGGCCCTCCTGTTGCCAGGTCTGGGTTCCTGTTTTCCTGGCTTGCCCTGCCTGTTAGCATTTTCAGGGTCTCGCGGTGTCCCTTCTCTGGAGTCTCGCATCAGACCCGTAGTCTCCGATCTGGCGAGCTCGCTCGCGTTGGGGAGTTATCTGTTCGGCAGACGTTCCATCTCCTTCTTTGCCGGCTTGGGTTTCCGGCTCTGCTTGCTCGGTGGTCGCACGCGAGATCTTCCCACGGCTCCGACTCTTCCTAGGCTCGAATGAACCTTGATGGGGCTGGTTAGGTTCTGCCTCGAATCTCTCACCATCAGTTGGTGGTCAGGTGGCTTTGTTGTTGGTGTCCCACCTGCGTGCTTCTTCTTGGCGACAGTATGGGTTTTTTTGATGGTCCTTCCAAGGTAAGGTTCCTTCTGCCCCTTCTTAGATGGCTGCATTTGTTGGTGTCGGCTTGTCTTTTCTGGTGGAGGTTCGGGGTTGTCATCTTGCCGCATACTGTCGCCTCGTTCATGCGGTGCTGGTGGAGCCGCTTCAGCTTGCCTTCGGTCTTGGTATTACGTCTGAGCCATTTCGTCAGCTGTCTCGTACATTGTTTCACCTCCGGCCTGCTCATGCATCGCCTGAGCCGTCCTGGTCTTTGGACAGTGTGCTCTTTCTTCTTCTCTACGATTTGTTGCTGCCCCTTCGGTTCGGGTTTGTTTCTCGAAGACTCTTTTTCCTGTTGGCTTTTGTCTCTAGGGGTCGGGTTGATGAGCTTCCTGCTCTCCTCCGGCGCAAGGGTTTCTGCTCCTTCGGTCGTGGCGTTATGTTTGTTCGGTTGCAGCCGTCTCCCTCTTTTTTGGCACAGAATGAGACTGCTGCTTTCCGGAGGGGTCCTTGGTTTGTTGGTGCTTGGTTGGTCAGGCTGGGGGTGCATCGTGTTTTGTGTCCGGTTGCGACCCTCCGCTGTTATTTGTGTGCCTCGGCTTGTGTGTCCTGGATGCGCTTTGGGTTCCCCACGTATGGGGAACCTAGGTTGATCCGGTTCCCTTCTTCCCTGTTCGCGGGTGAGGGTCTCCCAAGTTGTCTGCCGTGTTATTGAGGCTAGCCAGCCTGCGTTCTATCCCCGTACCCATAATGTTCATAGATTCGCTGCTCTTGTTGCCATCTGGTGGCATGTCCTGGCTGACATTTGGGCACAGGGATTTTTGCGGTGGTTCAGGGGCCTGGCTGCTTGATATCTCGTGGTCATTCCCGGGCCCATTCGGGCCTGTGTTGCCTTGGGTTGGCGGTTGCAGCCAGTTGTCTCGACTTTGAGTTGGGGAGTGTGGCGACTGGCTCCCGGGTACATCCTTCTTAATTTCCTCTGTGGGTAGTTAGCTCGGGGAGGCGAAGGGACTCCCCCCAGAAAGCCAGCGTTGAATGTAATGAAACGCCATTTTCTGGGTGAGACCCGGAGTCTCCCCGGCATCCCTCCCTCCCTCCGGTCGGCGGTTTTTCGCATTTTTTGACATCCAGCCTCAGAATTGATGGTAGATAGCTAGTGCGGTAGGTCTGGGGCTCCCCTTTCCCCCTCCCCGGGAGGGGGCAGCTTCGCAGACATCGGCGCTGCGACGTGTGGCGTCATGATCGTTTGCTCGTTTCTTTTAAGGGAGTTCTATTCACTTGTTCGGCTTGTGGTAGCAATTTTCACTAGAATAGGGGTTTGTTTTGGGACGCTTACCTTTCTGGGTGCCTGACACAGTCGATGGCAGACATAGAATGCTTCCAACCACACGAGTTTCTATAGGCCATTGCTCCCCTTGCCTCTCTGAGGGGGCCAGGTTCTGGCTCGTGGTCCCTGGTAGGCCCATAGAACTCATACACATGACTGATGCCAAAGTCTGATATTAGCATATCAGCCTAGTAAGCTCCGGGGTCTCACCCAGGAAATGGCGTTTCATTACATTCAACGCTGGTTTTTTGCATGTTACTAATTTGTCATACTTGTTCTAGGATCATCAACATTGTCCCTTCTTTTGGACCTGCCGCCCAGTACACCTGGGGGACCTCTTCCCAGACTTAGTGACTTACCTGGGGGGTCCACGTATGAGCGGAGAGATCCAGTAAGTCATAATCAAAGTTGCATTGTACTCTTGAATCTTCACACAACCTTTTATAGTAACACTGGCTATCTGTCACATTCCTAAATACAGAGCCACAGAGATATTACAGGAAAGAGATGGTTGGGTTGACTGCATCTATCTGGACCTAAAAAAGGCTTTCGACAGAGTTCCACATAAGAGGTTGTTCTGGAAACTGGAAAATATTGGAGGGGTGACAGGTAAGCTTCTATCATGGATGAAAAATTTTCTGACTGATAGAAAAATGAGGGCAGTAATCAGAGGCAATGTATCGGAATGGAGAAATGTCACAAGTGGAGTACCACAGGGTTCAGTTCTTGCACCAGTGATGTTTATTGTGTACATAAATGATCTACCAGTTGGTATACAGAATTATATGAACATGTTTGCTGATGATGCTAAGATAATAGGAAGGATAAGAAATTTAGATGACTGTCATGCCCTTCAAGAAGACCTGGACAAAATAAGTATATGGAGCACCACTTGGCAAATGGAATTTAATGTTAATAAATGTCATGTTATGGAATGTGGAATAGGAGAACATAGACCCCACACAACCTATATATTATGTGAGAAATCTTTAAAGAATTCTGATAAAGAAAGAGATCTAGGAGTGGTTCTAGATAGAAAACTATCACCTGAGGACCACATAAAGAATATTGTGCAAGGAGCCTATGCAATGCTTTCTAACTTCAGAATTGCATTTAAATACATGGATGGCGATATACTAAAGAAATTGTTCATGACTTTTGTTAGGCCAAAGCTAGAATATGCAGCTGTTGTGTGGTGCCCATATCTTAAGAAGCACATCAACAAACTGGAAAAGGTGCAAAGACATGCTACTAAGTGGCTCCCAGAACTGAAGGGCAAGAGCTACGAGGAGAGGTTAGAAGCATTAAATATGCCAAAACTAGAAGACAGAAGAAAAAGAGGTGATATGATCACTACGTACAAAATAGTAACAGGAATTGATAAAATCGACAGGGAAGACTTCCTGAGACCTGGAACTTCAAGAACAAGAGGTCATAGATTTAAACTAGCTAAACACAGATGCCGAAGAAATATAAGAAAATTCACCTTCGCAAATAGAGTGGTAGACGGTTGGAACAAGTTAAGTGAGAAGGTGGTGGAGGCCAAGACCGTCAGTAGTTTCAAAGCGTTATATGACAAAGAGTGCTGGGAAGACGGGACACCACGAGCGTAGCTCTCATCCTGTAACTACACTTAGGTAATTACTAAAGCTGTGAGCATAGGTTAAGGGAAGTAAATCTCTTAATATGAGGAGAGATTGTATTGAGGGCATATGATCAGTACATACAAGATCCTAAGAGGAATAGACAATGTGGTAAAATACAGCATCTCCAAAGTGGGAAAAATAGGTCAAGATGGCATAGATAGAAACTGGAGATGGAAATGAAGTGAAGTAATTTAAGAATATATGTGTACCTGTACAGGTGGTTAACATGTTGACATAACACTGAAAAGCATTCGTGTGAGTGACCTCCATCCACAACTTTAAAGTCAGATACAACAAAGAAGTTGAACTTCAGGAAAGTTCGCATCAAATATAGCCAGCACACCAAGTCTAGTAGGCAGATTATACAGAACCAGACCTCACTGTTCACTCCTTAACTGAAACTGCATCAATTGAATCTCCGGTTTGGCTTCTCACATTCTGGGTCTGATGACTACTGCACATGTCATATGTGGGTCTGATGACTACTGCACATGTCATATGTGGGTCTGATGACTGCTGCACATGTCATATGTGGGTCTGATGACTGCTGCATGTGTCACATGTGGGTCTGATGACTGCTGCACGTTGGTGGCCAGCCCAGCCTTGGTTTCAGGCGCTGCTTGCTCTGTCTGAACCCGAGGCTCTTCCCACGGCTCTACCTCTTTCAGATGATCGGGCGAGTCCATTACGTACCTTGTTCGATCTTCTCTTCAAGTGTTGGCATCTTTTTTTTCTGATGTGGGTCTGTCACCATTTGTATGGCGAGCAAGTGGCTTCCTTGATGGTGTTCTAACTGCGTGTCACTAGCTGTGCCGAGCATTAGCCCAGAAACACTAGCTGTGATTAGCATTAGCCCAGAAACACTAACTATGATTAGCAGTAGCCCAGAAACACTAGCTGTGATTAGGATTAGCCCAGAAACATTAGCTGTGATTAGCATTACCTGAGGTACCTGAGGCAGGTGATTAACATCACCTGAGGACCACATAAAGAATATTGTGCGAGGAGCCTATGCCACGCTTTCTAACATCAGAATTGCTTTTAAATACATGGATGGCGATATACTAAAGAAATTGTTCACGACTTTTGTTAGGCCAAAGCTAGAATATGCAGCGGTTGTGAGGTGCCCATATCTTAAGAAGCACATCAACAAACTGGAAAAGGTGCAAAGACATGCTACTAAGTGGCTCCCAGAACTGAAGGGCAAGAGCTACGAGGAGAGATTAGAGGCATTAAATATGCCAAAACTAGAAGACAGAAGAAAAAGATGTGATATGATCACTACATACAAAATAGTAACAGGAATTGATAAAGTCGATAGGGAAGATTTCCTGAGACCTGGAACTTTAAGAACAAGAGGTCATAGATATAAACTAGCTAAACACAGATGCCGAAGAAATATAAGAAAATTCACTTTCGCAAACAGAGTGGTAGACGGTTGGAACAAGTTAGGTGAGAAGGTGGTGGAGGCCAAGACCGTCAGTAGTTTCAAAGCGTTATATGACAAAGAGTGCTGGGAAGATGGGACACCACGAGCGTAGCTCTCATCCTGTAACTACACTTAGGTAATTACAATTACATTAGCCCAGAAACACTAACTGTGATTAACATTAGCCCAGAAACATTAGCTGTGATTAACATTAGCCCAGAAACACTAGCTGTGATTAACATTAGCCCAGAAACACTAGCTGTGATTAACATTAGTCCAGAAACACTAGCTGTGATTAGCATTAGCCCAGAAACACTAGCTGTGATTAGCATTAGCCCAGAAACACTAGCTGTGATTAGCATTAGCCCAGAAACACTAGCTGTGATTAGCATTAGCCCAGAAACATTAGCTGTGATTAGCATTAGCCCAGAAACACTAGCTGTGATTAGCATTAGCCCAGAAACACTAGCTGTGATTAGCATTAGCCCAGAAACACTAACTGTGATTAGCATCAGTCCAGAAACACTAGCTGTGATTAGCATTAGCCCAGAAACACTAACTGTGATTAGCATTAGCTTAGAAACACTAGCTGTGATTAGCATTAGCCCAGAAACACTAGCTGTGCCTAGCATTAGCCCAGAAACACTAGCTGTGCCTAGCATTAGCCCAGAAACACTAGCTGTGATTAGCATTAGCCCAGAAGGACTAGGGTCTTGTGTGATTTATTTTAGACACCGAGATGTTGGTGAATGATGTTAGGTCACAAGAGACTACATTCTGGAGATGTTCTTGCTCATATGAAAACTGAAGCCTCAAATATATTCAGTGGTCCAAAATAGAACAACTACTGCAAGTTCTGTAGTCGATAGATGTAACAAATCAAGCATGGCCTTACCTGAACCTCCTATACATAATTGTATTTGACGTTTCAGGAGAAAAGGATAAACCTCATGAAGAAATTTGAGAAAGAGGCAGAAAAGGAATCTCAAATGCAAGGGTTTCAGGAAGCAGAAGTGTCAACTGAGAAAACAGCCGTGAGTGTACCGAAGGAAACAGTAGAGAAGGATCATGGTGAGTTAGATTTCTGCTTCTGTTGCACAAGAGCACGGATGTTGCATAGAGGTATGGATGTTGCATAGAGGTACGGATGTTGCATAGAGGTATGGATGTTGCATAGAGGTATGGATGTTGCATAGAAGTATCAATGTTGTTGTCCCGGGTAATTTTCTCAGCTCCCACTGTTGCCCCTGATTATGTTCCCAGCTCCCACTGTTGCCCCTGATAATGTTCCCAGCTCCCACTGTTGCCCCTGATAATGTTCCCAGCTCCCACTGTTGCCCCTGATTATGTTCCCAGCTCCCACTGTTGCCCCTGATAATGTTCCCAGCTCCCACTGTTGCCCCTGATAATGTTCCCAGCTCCCACTGTTGCCCCTGATAATGTTCCCAGCTCCCACTGTTGCCCCTGATATGTTCCCAGCTCCCACTGTTGCCCCTGATAATGTTCCCAGCTCCCACTGTTGCCCCTGATAATGTTCCCAGCTCCCACTGATGCCCCTGATAATGTTCCCAGCTCCCACTGTTGCCCCTGATAATGTTCCCAGCTCCCACTGTTGCCCCTGATAATGTTCCCAGCTCCCACTGTTGCCCCTGATAATGTTCCCAGCTCCCACTGTTGCCCCTGATTATGTTCCCAGCTCCCCCCTGACTGTTGCCCCTGATTATGTTCCCAGCTCCCACTGTTGCCCCTGATAATGTTCCCAGCTCCCACTGTTGCCCCTGATAATGTTCCCAGCTCCCACTGTTGCCCCTGATAATGGTCCCAGCTCCCACTGTTGCCTCTGATAATGTTCCCAGCTCCCACTGTTGCCCCTGATAATGTTCCCAGCTTCCACTGTTGTCCCTGATTATGTTCCCAGCTCCCACTGTTGCCTCTGATAATGTTCCCAGCTCCCACTGTTGCCTCTGATAATGTTCCCAGCTCCCACTGTTGCCCCTGATAATGGTCCTAACTCCCACTGTTGCCCCTGATAATGTTCCCAGCTCCCACTGTTGTCCCTGATAATGTTCCCAACTCCCACTGTTGCCCCTGATAATGTTCCCAGCTCCCACTGTTGCCCCTGATTATGTTCCCAACTCCCACTGTTGCCCCTGATAATGTTCCCAGCTCCCACTGTTGCCCCTGATTATGTTCCCAACTCCCACTGTTGCCCCTGATAATGTTCCCAACTCCCACTGTTGCCCCTGATAATGTTCCCAACTCCCACTGTTGCCCCTGATAATGTTCCCAGCTCCCACTGTTACCCTTGATTATGTTCCCAGCTCCCACTGTTACCCCTGATAATGTTCCCAGCTCCCACTGTTGCCCCTGATAATGGTCCCAACTCCCACTGTTGCCCCTGATAATGTTCCCAGCTCCCACTGTTGCCCCTGATAATGTTCCCAGCTCCCACTGTTGCCCCTGATAATGGTCCCAACTCCCACTGTTGCCCCTGATAATGTTCCCAGCTCCCACTGTTGTCCCTGATAATGTTCCCAACTCCCACTGTTGCCCCTGATAATGTTCCCAGCTCCGACTGTTGTCCCTGATTATGTTTCCAGCTCCCACTGTTGCCTCTGATAATGTTCCCAGCTCCCACTGTTGCCTCTGATAATGTTCCCAGCTCCCACTGTTGCCCCTGATAATGGTCCCAACTCCCACTGTTGCCCCTGATAATGTTCCCAGCTCCCACTGTTGTCCCTGATTATGTTCCCAGCTCCCACTGTTGCCTCTGATAATGTTCCCAGCTCCCACTGTTGTCCCTGATTATGTTCCCAGCTCCCACTGTTGCCTCTGATAATGTTCCCAGCTCCCACTGTTGCCCCTGATAATGTTCCCAGCTCCCACTGTTGCCCCTGATTATGTTCCCAGCTCCCACTGTTGCCTCTGATAATGTTCCCAGCTCCCACTGTTGCCCCTGATAATGTTCCCAGCTCCCACTGTTGCCCCTGATAATGTTCCCAGCTCCCACTGTTGCCCCTGATTATGTTCCCAGCTCCCACTGTTGCCTCTGATAATGTCTCCAGGTTCAACTAAAGCTGCTTACAGTGGTGCCAGGTTGAGTTGTTTCTAATAATGCTTTCGGGTTCAATTTGTGTTGTTTGTTGTCAGTGGTTGCACAGTAGCATATGTGTTAGCAGTTAGTGTTATGGGTAATGTTTGTGTGCACAACTCTTATCACTTGTGTGTTGCTGTGCAGCTGTGATGGATGTGGAGGTGGAAGCTAAAGGAGAAGCAGGAGAGAGAGAAGTTATAAAAGAGGAGACAAAAGTGGAAGATGGAAAGAAGGAAGGTAAGGGCTGCTGTGATTTTTTGTTTCTTAACACTTTTTTAATAATTTTGTCTTAAGGGGGCATCAGAGGTTTAGTTGAAAATTGTTCAATGTCAACCAATATTATTTTACTAGTTGTATATGAAAAGTGCTGAAACTGTCCCAAGTTTCAGTACTGCAGCGTAAATAGAAAGGGAGATTGTTTGTTTTTTTTCAATGTTTTTTTACACATTTTCAAGTCCACACTTCAGAACACACGTTTCAGATATAATTATTCTGTGACACTTTTCTGACACATTAGCATATAATAAAGGATTGGGGGCTTTAGAATTTCCAAAACATCTTTAGTTTTCCTAATACAAATGTTCAAAGTTCCCCAAATTTTTTTTGCAAATATGGCATGTTTATTGCTATTATAAAATCAATAAAGGAACTTAGAGAAAAATGAAAGCCCCCAATGTAGAGACATGCCCTACACATATACTGTGTAAGTTTCATGTACAGGCATACCTCAGTTTAAGAGTTTAATTGGTTCCTGGAGACGCCTCGTATTCCGAAAACTCGTATTCCGAAGCTAATTTCCCCATAAGAAATAAAGGGAAATGAATTAATCCGTTCCTCACTACCCCAAAAACCCCACATCAAACTAAATTTTTATACCTAATTCATCTAAATAAACCTACAAAACTATGTTCAAGTTATTACTTACCTTGCTGTTGAATGCTGTAGGTGTTTGGAAGATGGTGAGGAGAGGAAAGGAGTTACTGTTTGGAAGGGGAGTCCCCCTTCCATTATCACATCAGGCAGTGAGGACCTTTCTGGTGTGCTCTCCCTGGGACGTTTTATCTGAGTGCCACTAGGTCCTGGTTGAGGCTCACTGCTCGATTTCCTCACCACAAATCTGTCCAAACCCTGGCTTTCTCACAAATAATGGCCTCCGAAACACTGTCACCCCTTAACTCCTTGTCGTGTATCCAATTTAATAACAACTTTTCCACTTCTTCAAGTATTTGTGGTCTTTGTTTCGTTATTGTTCTGACTCCTTTTGCCACTTTAGCACTCATAATCTCATTTTTCTTCTTAAATATAGTGCATATTGTTGATGTGGCTTTGTTGTACTGCCTACAAAGTTCAACAACACGTGTACCGTTCTCATGCTTCCGAATGATCTCTTGTTTCTCCTCTATTGTCATCCTCACATTAGCTTTCTGGCCTTTATCCTTACCACTGACTTTCTTGGGACCCATGGTGAGATATATAATAACAAATTGTATAGTCAAATCACCAAAAATCCAACAAAACACTGAAAATCCGCGAGAAGAATATATGTGGGGTAGTCACTGGGCGCGAGACAATGGTAAACTGAGGGGCGGAGGGGTGGAGGGACGACGATCGCCGAACCACCACGCGCTGGGTCGGCCTGTTCGCGTATCAACAAACTCGTGTCCCGAGGTAACCCTCGCGTTCCGAGACATATTTTTCGAGGAAATCCTGCTCGTATTCCGAAAAACTCGCATACAGGGACACTCGCATTCCGAGGTACCACTGTAAATTGAATAAAAAATGAATCAGTTTTGTAAACGTTTGTGTCAATTGAAAAAAAAAATAGAAATGAATAAAGTCTAAGGTTCTAAAATTTTTGGCTGAGGTTGACATCAACCAATTTTCTCCAAAATTGGCATCCTTACAGATAGGCTTACGTACAGTCAGGTGTGTAAGTTTGATGCAAATCGCCCGAAAAAAAATATTGAAAAAAAAAAATCCTTTTTTTTTTTTCTTCAAATTTTTTTCAAATTAAACTAATTATAATATTTGTTTAATATATGCTATTGTGATAGCAAAGAGTCGTAGCTATGATTTCAGTTGACACTTTTGATTGATAATCGATTTTGACCATTTTTGCATAATTTTCACAACTACTTCAATATTTTTTTTTCTCCCTTCCTATTTATGCTACGATGCTGAAACTTGGACCAGATGGACTTGGACTTTTCATATAGAACGTGTCAAAAAAGTTTGATTGAAATCGAACGAGTTTTCATTTATTGCATTTTTGGAACCTAACGCCCCCTTAAAGGTTGTAGCAGGCAAGTGTATTTTTGACAGTAAGATAAATGTGTTCCTATCTTTTTTTGACAACAAGAGTTGCTTTTTGAGTAATCCCTGTTTATCATTTTTGTTTTTCCTGCTCTTTTGTTTGTCATAAAAAAAAGACTGTCCTTCCATGCTATTGTTGGGGTTACCAAGAAATAATACATTAAATGTAATGAGAAGACTTTTTCTGGAGGGGAGCACTATTGGGTCTCCGGAGCTAGAGTCAGAAAAGCCGACGGGAATCACACTGAATCAATGTGATCAGCTTTGGGAATCACACCCTCCCTCCCTGTTCAGCCCGTTGACGCCATGAGGGGGGCTTAGTGGGCGGCTGCCAGAGTGTAATGCTCCTTGGGACAGTCCTCTGTCGTTTTGTACTCACCCAATTATGCTTACGGGGGTTGAGCTCTGGCTCTTTGGTCCCGCCTCTCAACCGAGGCCTTGTGCTCCTGCTGCTGTCCTCTCTAATTGTGCTGAACGACTTTTCCTTTTCCTTCTGTTTTATTTTTCTCTCCCCCCTCTTCTCCTATCTGCTTGCCGTTTCCTGCCGACCCTTTGCTTGTTTTGGTTATTCCTTTGGACTTCTTCTATTTTGCCACCCGGGTGCTTGAGGAGGCATACTCTTGCACCCGTACAACTGTAGTACCCAACGTCTCAAGCGAGGGAACCTTTTATTGTCAATCCCCCTTTCGTCGCTAAACCCGATCTCGGCGGACTGACAGTTCTTAAGGTGGCGTTTGTGGGGCGTTTACTCACGACGCACCCCTAGGGGGCCCCGGCATGATCGGCAATAGCTTCCTGTTAGGTGTCCTGCCTCTAATTGTAGCTCCATGGTGAGTATGGGGGCACATTCGTGGATGAATTTGTCACTCTTCGTCTGTATGTCGTTGAATGTTTCTGTTGTACCCTCTCAGGCTCGTGGGGTGGGCGACCAAGCCCCCGAGTCGGCCTGTATTGGAAGACCGGGCTCTGTAGCCCCCGCTGTGTTGGGCCCCGACCTTGCTCCTCCTTTGACCCTCCTGATTTCTTCACCCAGCTCCCCTCCTTCCTCTGTGGTTGGGTCGAGCCTCAAGCCCCCAGTGGTGACCACTTCGTCCCCTGATGCGGCTAAGTCTCTCGTTGTGACTACTGCGCCTTTTAACCCCTCTCTCTCTGGGGGTTCTCAATGCCGTCCGCTCCACGGCCGCACTCGCTCGATTCCTTCCCGTACTGATGCGTATCAGGCCTTGTTTGGTCCTGCTTCATGGGCCAAATACTTTGATCTCCCTCTTGATTCTGCACCTCCTGACGATTTCTCCCTCCATCGGCATCTTGTTGATTCCGTGGATGCCTCTGTTACCTTCAACCCCACTCGTGGGGTTGAAGGTACACGTGTCGTTGCTGCTGCTCCTCAGGATGCTGCTTCCCGCTTGGCTGCCTTATCCTGCCTTGGCGAGATCCCTGTTCGGGTCTCAAAGAACGCTCGGTTGAATGACAGTGTTGGCACTATTCTCCTCCCGCCCCATGTTGCGACCGGTGTTCAGAATCTGCAGGACTGCCACGATGATATTTGGCATATCCTTGATGCCCAAGACCATTCTGTCCTCCAGGTAGACTCGTTTACTCGCCCCTCTCGTGGTCGTCGCCGTCAACCCCTTCGGATTGTGAAGATTACCTTTGATGGTAGGACCCTTCCATCCTCTGTCATTCTTGCTGGTGCCAGGTGCTCTGTCCAGGAGTACATTCCTTCTCCTCGGCTCTGTAACAAGTGCTGGAGGTTTGGGCATGGTGCCCTGCCCATCCTACCTTCTCCCATGCCTGTATCCATTACAAGCTTGAGGAAGCCGTCCTCAACTTGAAGCACCGGGAGCGTTTATCTTTTCCTGAGGCGAGGCGCCAGGTTCGCTGGCTCCCGCCTTATGCTAACGTCTCTTATGCTCGCGTGTTGAACTCTTCTCGTCCTTCCCAACTTCCTCAGACTCACAACCGTTTCCGGGCCTTGGACTCTGATATGCCCACTGCCCCCTCCTCTGTTCCTTTGAGTTCTGTCCCGATGGGTCCCCCTCCTGGTCCTCTGTCTGGGGTTCCCCTTCTTTCTGCCCGGTCTGTCATGTCTCCTGTGTCTTCTTCCTTGTCTCCCTCCGATCCTCCTTCCCATCCTTCTCCTCCATCTATTGACTCTCCCCGCCGCCTGTCAGTGTGGGCTGATGTCCATCGCTCTCCTAATGGCTGTCATGTGTGCTCTCGTTCAGCTTCTCCTGGTGAGACGCTGGAATCCATTGCCCGGTACGTAGTTGCTGGGACACCTGTCTCTTTAAGTCAGAAGCGTAAGCCTGGCTCCTCTCCTTCCACCTCCCCGGCAGGTAAGAAGGCTTCGCTTTCTTCCTCGGCCCCTACTTCTGACTCTATCGCCCCTTCCCCTCCCATTTCGGTGGTTGCGCCCCCTGTTCCTGCTATGGAGGTTTCTTTGGCCCCCGCTTCCCTCTCGGTTGCTGCCCTTGCTGAGGTGCGCTTCCCTCTTTCTACTCTCCCCTCTTCCTGCTGCTGTCCTTGACTGCTCCTCTCCCTTGTCTCCTCCTCTTCCTCCTCCTCCGGACCCCACCCGCCCACCTCTGGTTTGTTCTCCCGCTTCCTTCCCTCCGTCTTTGCTCAGTTTACCCGTGCCCCCTAACCCTGACTTTGCTGACCCTGATCCCGACCCTGATCTTCAACTTGCTATGTTGCTCTTTCACCTTTGTTTCTTCCTTGTTTTCTTTTGTTGTCCTTTCTCTTCTCGTCGATGTCTATTCATCAATGGAACGTTCGGGGTTATTACACCAATTTCCTTGAACTGCAACTTCTGATTTCGTGATTTTCGCCCCTTTGTGTTTGTCTCCAGGAGCCGATGCTTGGTGCTCGTCCTGGTCGCTTTCGTGGCTATTCCTTCCCCCCCCCCAGCTGTTGCTGGG